GGCCTCCGCCCGCAGGGAGAGCTGCCCAGCCACGGCAGGCTCCTCCTTTCCTTGCTTCCTCAGGCAGAGGAGTCCAGGAACAGGGTGATCCCTGCAGCCCAGCTCAGGGAACACGTCCCTGGCCCACAGCATCCCCTGGGGGCTGCAGGCAGCAGCCGGCAGCTCAGGGACCGGCTGGGTTTCAAGATCTTTTTAAAAAGCTGTTCACCAGGACACCTGGGCTGAGGTTGAACCAGTTACTCACCCTTCCATCCTCCCCCCTGCCCCGGGCACGCCGCTCTCCTGCTTTTTTTTTACGTCTCCCTGTTGCTCGGGCTGAGAAATTCTGCAAGCAGAAGGTCCCCAGGGCGGTGCTTGCTCCTCGGCAAAGGGTGAAACCCTGCCCAGCACCCCCGGGCACAGCCCCTGTCCCCCCACACCCCTGCTCGTCCCAAGCCCTGTCGCTGTAACTGCCCCGAGCCTCCAGCAGGAGGAAACCGGGCAGGTCGGGGGTGGCCCAAAGCAAAACCAGAGCAGCTGCCCACGATGGAGGAGGGACCACGCTGGCATGGGCAGGATGAATCCATGGCAGCAAACCCGGAGGCCAAGGAGCCTCAGGATGAGCCGCAGGGCTCAGCTGCCAACACAACCCCCTGCCGGCCGGTCAGAGACCGAGCCTGGCAGCTCCTGTTTGAGTCTTTTTTTTTTAAAGAGAGAAAACCTGACATCTTACATCCTCCCCCTTGTTCCTCCCCGTGTTAATAAAACATGTTGGTGTTTGGAAGGAAAATCTCTGGGTGTTTCTTATTAAGCAGCTGGGGGGGGGACACTGCAAAGTCTGCTGAATACTTAACTGGGTGCCAGCAGGTTCCTCTGGTAACTGCAGAGCTCCCTGAAGGGATGAGCAGTGTCCCTCCTGTGCCCAGCAAACCCCAAAGGGTCACAATCCTAGGGCTGGCAGGGAGCAGCAAAGCCCCTGCAATTCCAGGCCATGTTATGCTCAAGAAAAGGCCTGCAGTCTTGCACCCTCTAAACCTGCTCACCAGGAGGGCTCTGGCCTTGCCTCTGCTGCCATTCTTTGGGAGGGGAGTAAAAAAGACCAGTGGGTTTTGACTCATGTGCCCCCCAGATGAGCAGAGGAGCATTTCACAGTGATCTGCTCCAAACAGGAGGGCTGCCCAGATCTGCTGGAGTCAATTGGTGCCAGTGAGAGAAGGATTTGAATCCCCAGAGGCTGCTGCCTCTCTGAAAGCCTGACTGTCCACCCCCCTGAGCCCTGAGCCACACACTGACTCTGTGCCCCAGCCCAGCTGCCAACTCTGGGGTCTGAAAAACCTGGGCAGGAAAGGGCAACAAAACCTGGGAAGGGAGAGAGCCAAGATGGAGGAGCCACCTTCCAGCTGAGCTGAAGGCAGTGTCACCTCTGGGGCATCCAGCTCTACCAAGTTTATTATTAAATACAAGTTTACATCAAAACAGTCATAAAAAATCCCACCAAACAGCACCTCCTGCCACAGGGAGTTCAACACCCAGACATGACCCACGGCCATGGGGACTGTCACCCCCAGGTGCTACTGCATCTCCTCCTCCCTCTGGGCCCTGTATTCCTTCATGCTCCTCTGCAAGCAAGAGCAAAGGAGAAATGTTAACAGCACACATCTGAGGGACCCAAACACTGCAGTGCCACCACCCTCATGTCTCCTGTGACTTCTCTGCTCGCTGCCTGGAAAGGCTGAGGGACCTGGGAAGCTCTGACAGAGCTCCAGGTTCTTTCAGAAGTGACAGAGCTTCACAGTCACTGCCCTTCCCTTTCTCTGCCACAGGTCAGGCACAGGAAACTATCAGGTTTTTCATGTCAAAACAAGACCTACAGAACAGGTCCCAGCCCATTCCTCTCCCCTCTGAAACCAAGAGACAGAAAAAGCCCCTGAGCTCTTCAGGAACAGTCTCACCTCAAAGGTGTTGAGCACATGTTGACAAACACCCATCAGGTCGTTCAGCCCTTTCCGGAATGGCTCAACAGCAGGAAGGGCCCCTTTGGGAAGGAAAATGTGTGAGTGACATGGGATTTGGCTTCCACAGGGGTTGGCAGCCCCCTCCCCTGCTGCTCTGGGTGTCACCACCGTGCCTGAGGGCAGCCCCCGTGGTGGGGAGAGGCTCTGACACCAGGGTGTGCCCACACGCTGCCCTGGCTCAGCAGAGCTCAGGGAGAAAAGTGCTTTTCTTCATCCAAGTGTCTCGTGGTGGCCACCTGAGCAGGGGGAATTCCCCAGAGAAGGGCCTGGGGAACATGCCCACCCATACCTCTGGTCTGGATCCTGAAGTTGATCTTGCTCTCAGAGGGGTGTGTGATGCAGTAGCCACAGAACTCCACATCAGGGCTGCAGGGGGAGAGGGGAGAAGAGAGCCATGAAACCCAGGATAACCCACAGCAAGTCCCAGGGGAGCCAGAGGCCCTGCTCACCCCAGGATGTTTCTAAAATGACTGGAAGTCTTATGGGAAGGATAGGCTGAGGGGAAACTACCTGGGTAACCTTGTCCACATGCCCCCTTCTATCTCTGAGCTTCCCCAGCTCTCCCCTGATCTGGGGAAGGACAGGGCTGGCAGGATATCAGGCACCATCCTGGCACCACCAGCAGTCCACTGGCAGGCTGCAGGGTTCAAACAGGGGGTTCTGGGTGCTTGGAAAGCTCAGTGCACAGAGATGGTCTTCAGGCTGCATGGCATCTGCCTTTGCAAGCTGAGGGAGCTGGGAGAACATTTGTGTGCCCAGCAGAAAGAGCAGCCCCTTGCAAGAAGCCTGCTGGTATTTTTTGTCACTGTGATTTATCAGATGGATTCACATGGCACTGGAACTGTCGTTTGAGATGATGTGTGAGAGCTTTGAGATGACCTTCTTGCTGCAATTCTTCTTCCCAAACCCCCAGTGCTGCCCAGTTTGGTCCAATCAGTCAGTCTGTGGGTCAGCCCCAGCTGAGCTGGGAGACCCACAGAGCTCAGGAGGGACTGAAAGCCCTGAGCTGAGGTTCAGTGGGGTTCCTGGGCCCCAAGTGTGGCTGGTCAGGCCCATTCAGGCCAGTTAGTGCTCTCAGGACCCTGCCACTAACACAGCACAAGGAAAGTTAATCCTGTGAAGAGAGGCAATTGGTAAGGAGCCTTAGGCACCATATCTGATATGAAGACCCAAACAGGGGTGCACAGAGGTACTTTCTGATGGTTCCCCTTGTTCCAGCAGCCACCAAGATGCAGCTCGCGAGGCCAAGGGAGGGGACAGAGGCCCCCAAAGCAGGGCCAGGCCCCCCAGAGGCTCCACTTACTTCTTCATGACCATGTACCGGAGGGAGTTGCCCAGAGTGTGATCCTCGTCGTGCAGCACGAACGTGACACAGTTCCCGTCCGTCCCATCCGCCTGGACCTGCCCCCGACACGGACAGAAGGGTCAGAGCTGAGCAATCAATCCATCTCCAGGGCTGGTTTCAGAAAAACGTGAAGTCCAAACCCGCTCCGGAACAGCCCCGGCCTCTCCCTGCAGGGCCGGCCCGGCCACCCCAGGGAAGGCGCGTTGCTCCCCTTCCCTGCCCGTCCCTCGGCCCCCAATGCCCGCAGACCCGCTGGGGAAACCCAGCGGCCCGCAGGGCAGGGCTGCAGGCCCCGGGGG